ATATTTTCAGAGTGAAAAACTCTGAAATTGTAATAATTTTATTTAACTTACTATATAAAAAGTGGAAGCTCTGGTGGCATAGTGTTTAAGGCATCTGACTGCGAACCAGAAGGCTGGCAGTTCAAACCCACCAGCCACTCCTTGGAAGGAAGATTGGGTGATCTACTTCCAAAGTGATACTGCCTTGGAAACCCAAGGTGGGGTCGCTGTGAGTCTGATTCAACTGGACAGCAGTGAGTTTTGTTTTGGTTTATATAAAAAGTATCATTTCACAAATATAAAAGAAATGAGCTATTTACATTTCCTTTTTGGTACATCTTAAAAACCCAGTGTGCATTTTAAAGTGATAGTATATGCACAAGTGCGGATGGCAAGACTTCACCTGGTGTACTTTGGACAGGTTATCAGGAAGGATCAGTCTCTAGAGAAGAGCATCAAGCTTGGCAAAGGGTCAGTGAAAAAGAGGAAGACTCTCAACGAGATGGAATGACACAGTGTTTATAACAATGGACTCAAACATAGCAACCCTTGTGAGGATGGTGCAGGACTGGGCAATGATTCATTCTGTTGTACACAGATCACTATGAGTCTAAACCAACTCAATGTCACGTAAGAATAAATATCTCAATCAGGACTACTCCCATTTCAATTTCGGGACTACTCAACGGCAGTAAGTTTGTTTTTTTGTCTGTCATTATAGCCGTAAGCCTTAGATGTTTTACGTGTAGCAGATGGTCAAATACTGTATTAAATGAATGAATATGGCTATGCATGGATTATCAGCCCAGACCAGACTGTTAATTCATTACTATTTTTCATTAAACAAGATACATTCCATAGTTTCTCCACGAAAACAGTAACAATTGTTTTCTTTTCAGAACAATTTCTAATAGCCTAGACCAACATTAAAACATAATCTGAAATTTCCCACTAGTTTGAATTACATTTATTCTGTCTGTATCAGTCTCTCCTCCTCCAGTAGACAACAAAAGCAGAATTGCTGAGGCATATATAAATAAGTACCAGTGAACAGTTCTCTCCAACAACCTCTCAGACTTAAAGAAAAAAGAAAGTTAAGAACACACACTTGGAAGGAAAGTCAAAAATTTTTCCCATCATATAGTCAGTAGTGGCACAGTTCCTAAATCTTCAGAAGCTCCTTTGGCAAACCATTTTAAGTTAAACAGAAATATAATACTGTAGCTGCCATGGTGAAAATCTAAAAATAGTAAATGTCCTGAATTTTTTAAAATGTAAAATAAAATGACATATAATATCGCAACAGCAAAATCTTTACCAAAAAACAAACACAAAACTCAAAAACAAATTCATTCTTTAATGATATGAATAATACTGTATTATAAAGTTCTTTTGGTAGTCTTAAGACTGTGGAAATGATTTTATTTAGATATAAAATCTGGAAATATATGAGTGGAGAGAGAGAGTAGCTCTATGTTTTTATTCTATATACAATAAAATGGCACTTCATTTATTGATATTTCCAAAATTAACTTTTTGTCAGTTTTATGATTTTTACCACGCACACATACATGTGTGCACACTTGCATGCACACACACAGACACACCTCCTAATCAAATGGTTCCTGTTTTATAAACTATTGGAATACATATACATTTCACCTCACTCAAAATATTTATTCATCTATTGTGTGTAAATTAAACTTAAAAATTCAAACATGTTCAAAACACAGTAAATTCCTTTTTCCTTTTCTTTTTAGGTAAGTGTTCCAAAACTGGGGTAAATTCAGCATCCTCACTATGTTTTCTTTTCTTTTTCTTTTTGTGGTCACTTTGGTAACCACTAGAGTCACTGCCTTGGAGAACAGGGTCCTGGTCTTGATCTTCCTGGTGCTTTTTCTTCTTCTTCTTCTTCTTTGGCTCTTCCTCCTCGAGGCCCTTCACGCTGTTACCAATCTGTGGGCCTGTTTCTTCCTTTACAGTAACATCTACTTGCTCTATAGTACCATCTTCCACTGCGTAAGTCTCCAGGTCTTTCTTCTTTTTCTTTTTCCTCTTTGGATGTTTTTCAACAGCTTCTTCAGTGACAGTTTCTGTTACTTCTTCAGAAACTTCAGAGCATTTGGCTTGTAAACTGTAAATTAACAATTGAAAATATGAACAGAGTAATAAGCAAAAATGAAAGAATAAAATGAGATCAAGCATGTCCCAACAAGCTAAGATTTTTCTAAATAATGGAAGCAGTACAAGATATATAATTATGGCATAAATTTAAAATATTTCATTTTGTTATCCTTTATCCCACTGAAATATCTTGGAAATGTTAAAAGCTTCGTTTTCAAAGTACTTCTCCCAAACTATTTTTCACTCATGAAAGTGGCATGAAAATCTTGTCAAAACATGTTGCTAATTTTTGATCTGGTTCATAAAAATTTAGTTACTGAACATTATAGCAATACTCAGACTCAGTAGCTAAACCACTAACATTTGATAAAGAGAAAATATATTTCTAGTATCTACCAAAGCAACAGAATTTCTCTTCTGCTATTTCAATCATATTTCATTATTTTATCTCATCTACAGAGTCAGTGTTATTTCAAAGTTGTGAATTATTTTATATCATGAAAATAAAAAGGATCAGTGAGTAGCCCTTTTTCCACACTGTCCTATACAACAGTCATTAGCCACATGACCATTTAAATTTAATTTAGATTAGATAATTTTAAAAATTTATTTCCTTAGTTGCACTAGCCCCATTTCAAGTGCTCAACAGTGAGCCTCTGGTATTCACAGAAGTAGGATATTTATACCATCAGAGAACACTCTACTGGACATATGCTCTAGAACGTCAATCCAAATAAATTATTTTTTTTACTAAAGCAAATCCAGAAAAAAATTCTAAACAAAATCAACCGTGTCTCAAGAGACTTATTTTCCCTGTAAAATTTTGCTCCTATGGAACCAAACTCAAGATTAGAGTAATTTTTAATAAGAATTTTAATATCAAATAATCCAGAAATTAAAATATCTAGGTGGCATAGATGACAATAATCAAAACAAGTTCTTTTCATTTCAATTAAGTACAAATAAAAGTAGTTTAAGAGTTAGACAATAGAATTATGGATTTAACAGTTTCAAGTTCAGAGATCAGTTTTTCAAAACTAACAAGCTATAAAATACTCAGCAAAACTGACAAGTCAGCTAGATGCTGAGCTTCAGAATACTTACTTGATGCACGGTGAGAACACTTAAGATTCCCGTTTACAGTGTCTTTATGGTTTGAAAGCATAAATACACTTGTAAATAGAATTAATTACCATTACAGAAGGGCTCATACTCTATAAATTCAGAATTAATCAGAAATGACTAAGTATCCAGGGTCATATTGTGACAGTGAACTGACCTAGCGATATTTAATTTTCCCCGAATGCAGAACACTCCAGCAGCATCTGAGTCTAAACGAAATACTTCAAATTCTACTTCATCTCCCACGTTTATCTCCAGGGTTTGCCACTGCTCGGCAGGCATCTGCTCAGGTTTAGGGATAGAGGCATTGAAACAGCCATGTACTAAACAGCCTATGTGGCTGGAAGATACTTTATTAACTGTGCCCTAGGAAGAACAAAAAAACAAAACAAAACAAAACATAACATCAAGAAGAGATTCACAGAGTTAAAAGGTAAGACAAGCTTTATAAGCTCAAAACAATCTTCAAAGAGAAAACAACAGATTAGAGGTATAATATGGAACATCTTTAACTCAAAGAAAACTTATTACATGCTGTAATAAAACACTGCTTTAGAAAACTGTAAAACAACCACCATCCCTCTCTTCCCACAAAAAACCCAAACACCTTGGCCTCCATTGCAAGATTCCTTGGGAAGTAAATTACCCTATAACCACACTGAAACCAAGCAGAAAATACTCCTTGATATGACCTATATGTAAAAGAAAGCCTCAAGACCTCAAGGCAGGAATCAAGCATATGTTTTTTATAACTAGGATATCCACATTATATTTCTAGAAACAGACTGTATTTCAAAGCTGAAAAGCATGCCTTAATGATTCAATTTAGCATGATGTAAGCAGTCCTATTAGATGACAGCTTACCCTTTATATGTAAATCTTCTGCATGGCATTTTGGCTAACCTAAAACTATTACTGGATGCTTTAAAATGAAAACAAAAGTTTGTGCTACATAATTTCAAGGTTAAATGAACATTTCCATAAAATTGAAGCATTCCATTCTTCTTCTAGGAATCAATAAATATAAGCCGTATGGATGAAAAGAAGCCCAGTGGCACAGTAGTTGAAGCTTTAGGCTGCTAACCAAAATACTGGTGGTTCAAACCTATCAGCTGTTCCGTGGGAGAAAGATGTGGCAGTCTGCTTCCATAAAGATTTACAGCTTTGGGAACCTTCTGAGGCAGTTCCACTAACCTTACAGAGTTGCTATGAGTTGTAATCAACTAGATGGCAATGGGTTATACGATAGAAAATCTGAAATATTAATGTCATCTTCTGAGTTCTGGAACGGTAAATAACACTGACATGTACACAATGCTGTATAACTCCAGCAATCCTTTTTACATGTGACAGAATAAAACTTCCTGCTCTGTCATTCTCAGGAGTCTGGTGTCCCCAGTGGTACCTTCTAGATGGTTTTAAGGTCAGTCTGAAGAAGCTGTCATGGGGCCTCCCATATTTCTAAGTGCAGAAAAGATGGCAGCACAGCTGTGACCGAGCATTCAACTGAAGATCAGGCATACCGTACATAAGATCAGTCTTCCAGCAAAGGGCACCGAAGTACTGAGAGAAAATATAATCCTCACCCATAACCTCATGTTAATAGCCCTCTCTATACTGATGAGTCAATAACTTAAAGCTTCCTGAAAGCTGTAGTTTTTTAATCCTGAAAGCTAAAATTCTATTATTTCATGGATGGGAAAGAACTTGCTTACATTTAAGTATGAGAAGGCAAAGATAGTAACAGCAGTGTGCTGGCCATGAAAATGAGCTGCTCAGATCTTCTGTAACTGGGAACACAGGGATCTGATGGGCCCAGCTGCTGCCCCTCTGGATCCACCACCATCACACCAGGCACGTTCCCATGGCCTCCTCCCAGCCCATGACTGAGCACAGTAGGAAATACTAATTAGGCCCATTCTAATGAGATAGGGGTCTCATCTAGTGGGCAACTGTGACTTGAGGACTGCCCACCAGCCTGGCCAAAACTTTCTCCGAAGTGTGCTGCAATATGATACTCTTCTCACTCCATCCTCCTCCCTCTCTGTCACTTGCACCCTTACCCTATTCCACGTCCTCCCCTTTATTCTTCGCAGGTGTTTCCCTCAATAAATCTCCTGAATGTCTAATTCTATCTTGGCCTCCGCTTCATAAGACTAGAAAGCAGCATGGTCAAAAGACTGACTTCCAAGCACTAAGAACTCAGAATCTGCTCAAAGGCTAACTTTAATTTCCTGGGATCAAGGTATAGAACAATTAATTCTGGCAAGAAAAGAAAAAAGTCTAGTTCTAATTCTAGAAGTTCTCTACAATATGTCATATGTCCATTTATTTAAGATAGTAGTATTCAATGAGTATCTTGAATGAAAGTAAATGTCCATATTATATGGTATTATGGATTAGATACTGAGCGGCAGGCACTGCTAAGAATATCTGATAAACAAAAAAGACATGGTTCCTACCACAGAGGAGTTTATGTCAGAAGGAATGAAAACAACATACAACTCAAAAAGTATATAATTACAAATCATGATACATGCTATGAAGGAAAAGAATGGATTAGGTATCAATTGGTCAGGAAAGACCTCTCTGAGCTTCAGAGAGGTAACATTAAAGCTGCAACCTGAAGGACAAGAGGGTAGAGAGTGTTTCATGTGGAGAAGAATAACATGTGCAAAAGCCATATGGTGGAAAGTAATTTAACTCCTTGCAGAAAGGCAGCCAGGATGGCCTGAGCACAGTAAGTGGTCTCAAGGGACCAGACAAGAGAAGCAGATGCCAGATCACTCAGACCTTGCTGGGATTTGGTAAGAGGTTCTAAGATTTTATTTCAAATACAGTGGGAAGTCACTGAAGGGGTTTTAAGCAAATTTGTTACATTATAAAGTGACCACCTTGAGAGTTTCCATTTTCTTCTAAAAATCTAACTGAAAGCAAGAAAGTACCAACAAAAAACCAAAACCACTGCTGTCAAGTGAGAATAAATTCATAAAAGCGTTGATAACTGGAGAGGAAGGGATGACACGTTAGTGGAAACTTGATTAAGCTCTGGAAGAGCTGAAATCATATCGGTAGAAAAGTCTAGCAGAGGAAAGCACAGCTCAAAGCCTTGAGCCCCCAGAGGAAGTAAAGGTAGGCAGCAGGTACATACAGAGGAAACAGGGAAAGACTAATGAGTGATACAAACACTCATTCCTGAAACATTCTTCACCTGGCTTCCCGAACATTCACTCTGCTTCTCTTCCTGCTCATTGTTAATGCAGTTCCCCAACTTCTTCCTGTTGGACTGCTCAGAGTTCTCTCTATCTATAGTTATTCTCTATACGCCATTTACAGCATGAAGACTCCTAAGGACATATATCCAGCATGGGACCTCTTTCCTCTGAATTTGAAATGAAGTACATACAACTGCCTTCTCAACATATCCACATAGGTGTCTAACATGCATTTCAAATATGAATGTCCAACACTGAATTCCTATTCGACCCCTCCCCAAATGGCTCCTTGAAACTTTCTCACCCCAGTGAACTCCATGCTTCAACATGCTAAAGGTCAAAAAACTTAAGTCAATCTTAACTTCAGTATTTCTGTCACATTCCACATTTATCCATGAGCAAATCCTATCAGCTCTTTTTCAAAATACATCCAGAACCCTTGTACTCCGAACCACTTTGGTGTTATTAACCCGGTCCAATTCATTGTTATGCAACAGTCTCTTAACTGGTTCCCCTACTTGTATTTTCCCCTAGCTGCAGTTTAGTCTCTATACAGCTATCCAGTTCTTATGCTAAATCACATTCTTCTGTGTAAAACTCTTTCATGGCTTCCCTTCTCTCTAAAGAGTATAAGCTCACCATGGTGTATGAGGCAGAATGTATATACTGGGTAACAAGTCTATTCTAACTCCTTTCTATTATATACTGTGCTTAGAAAGCTAGACTACTTTTCCCAGACTTACCTATGATCCTGGGTTACAGCCTTCTCCAACACAACCAAATGAACCTTTGTACAATTTGGAAGGCAGAAGTTAAGAGGTGGCAGTTATGACAGTGGCCTGTACTTAGGCTCTGTGGGGGTTGAAAGACTGTAGACATCTTTTCAAATGACATGGATTAGGTTCAATGGTATAGTCCTGATGCTAGTAGTTAGAGCAGTGGCTTCTTAATTATGACAAGTACTAGCCTCTTTGCATACTAAATCTGTAGTTGTGCTCTGAGAGTTCTCTCTGAAAACTAAACCTAAAGCTTGTTGCTCATGTAGTTTTGTTATTATCTAATTCCCTATATTAAATTCCTTCTTGTTTAAAAGAAAGGTGATTAGTTTCTGTTATCTGAAATCCAAACTCATATTGCTTAAAAAGACTGAAAATCCAGCCCCCTCCAACTTTCCCAACTTCCCTGACCCCATATTCTCTACTCTTCCTCTTATTTACTCTTCTTTAGCCACAATGGCCACCTTGCTACTTTTTAAATATTCAAACATATTTGCATCTCAGTACCTTTGCATATACTCTTTCCTCTTTCAAATAAGTTACTCTAGAGCTCTGGTGGTACAGTGCCTAAGGCATCTGACTGCTAACCAGAAGACTGGCGGTTCAAACCCACCAACCACTCCGCAGAAGTTAGACTAGGAAAATTTACTTCCGTAAAGATTTACCGCCTTGGAAACCCAAAGGGGGTCGCTATGAGTTGGAACTGACTTGATGGCAGCGAGTTTGGTTTGGTTTTTAGATATTTAAAAGGCTACCTCCTCAACTTCCTTCAAGTTCTTATGCAAAAATGTCACCTTAGCAGTGAGTATTTCCTGACCACCTTACACAAAACAATCCACTTCACTTCCAAGCACCTTATCTCCTTTCTCTTTTCTCTTCAGCACTTATCATCAACCAGTGTTATTTATTTCTTTGTTTATTTACTAGTTTCTCCTATGCATGCTCTAGGAGAAGAGAGATTTAATTTTGTCCTCACCTATGGCTTCAGCCTTGACATAGCACCTAAGCATAGAGAAGGCATTCAGTACTAAACAAAAATGGGATAAAGAAATTGACAGGTTCCGGTTTAGCACTGCAGTTTCTGTTCAGAAGAGGGCTTCCCTTATTTTGTCAGCCAGTGTTCTGACTTACCAATCATGTACTTTAACGTGAAGCTGCCAGTACACTCATCTACTTGAGTACACAAAATTACCACTCTAACCGTTATGCCCTGCCATTTGGGAAAGATGCCTCAGAAGGAGGACTACCGTGAAGTGGCATGTTACCTACATCAACAATCTTGGGGCATTAACTTGAGCCTTTAGACATAAAACTAAACAAATTACCACATATGCTAAAATAAGAGAAAAGTGTAAGCATAAATTAGAACCAAAGTATTTAAGAACTGGTCTAAAAAGAGAGAGGTAATTTTCAAAGAATAAAATTAAATTTTAACTATGACGCACTGCTGTCCAGTTGGATCCAACTCATAGCGACCCCTCCTTGGGTTTCTGAGGTGATATCACTATGGAAGTAGATTGCCCAACCTTCCTTCCGAGGAGTGGCTGATGGGTTTGAACTGCTAGCCTTCCAGTCAGCAGTCAAATGCCTTAGGCACTATGCTACCAGAGCTCCTTTTAATTACAAGCATCAGAGAATTCAACATTAGCCCCATAAAGTAAGAACAGATGTTTTGGAGTGAGAGAGTTTAAGGAAAAAAAAAAACATAATGGGAACACTAAGACTGTTGAAATTTAATAATTAAAAAAATAATAAAAGAAGAAGTAGAAGAAAAAAGTTGAGAAACTTTCTCACAACAGAGGAAAAAAATTGGGATGAAAAAATATAGGAGCAAAGTTAAGTAATAAATCAGCATGAGAGGACCAAAGTCCATCAAATAGAACTTCTGCAGGGGTGTGTGTGTGTGTGCAAGTAAATGGAAAAGAAATTATCAAAGAAATAAAGGCAACTTTTCCAAAGCTAAATGATGTTTCAGATTTGAACACAATAAAAGCATTGAAATACTTAACATTTCATAAATCTAACAATGAAGTTAATTAAAGCTTCCAGAGAGAAAACAGAGGAATTAAAAGATTTTTTTCATCACAATACTGATGCTAGAAAACAATGGAACTTTAATGTTCTTCAAGATAATTATTTTAAATGAAGAATTCTACACCTAGCCAATGGGAACAGAAAGAAAAAAAAATTAAAAAGCAAAGAATTGGATGGGAGACATAACTATAATTATTTGCAGGCACTGTGATTGTGTACATAGAACATACTAAAGAAACAAAAAAACCCAATGAAGTGACTTTAGTAAGGTTATGGATATGTATTTCCATATTCCAGAAATGAATAATTGGAAAAAAAACCCATCTATAATAGTATCATAGAATAATATACTTAGTGATACATATAACAAAACGTGTACAAGATTTCTACATTGAAAACTACAAAACACTAACAGGAATTAAAGAAAACTGCAGACGTGTTCATAGACTGTAAAGCTCAATATATTAAATGTTAAAATATAAATTCTCCCTAAGTTGACTAACATATTCAGCATACTACCAAGAAAATCCTAGCTATTTTTTTTAGGAGGGACAAGTTAATGGACAAGCTGAATCTAGTATTTATACGAAATGAAGAATACCCAAAATAGCCAAAACATTCTAAAACATGAAGCTATCTTACATAAGATAGTGCAAATGTAGTAGTGGCATAAAAACTGACAAACAGATCAAGGGAATAAAAAGTCTAGAAACAGACTTTGGTGAGCGGTTACTGGGGTCTTAAAGGCTTGTGGGTTGGACTCTAAAGTGTAACTATTGCTCTATCTCCATCTAGAACAAAGAAGAGTTAAGAAAATCAAAGACATAAGGAAACGATTAGTCCAAAGGACTGATGGACCATGTAAACAAAGCCTCCATGACCCTGGGAACAAAGATTTAAGATGGTGCCCAGCTATCACTGTACAATTTTCTACCAAATACTTTGAAAGGGATCACAATAGGAGGTCCTGGGTAGAAGGGGGAGAAAATGTGGCACAAAACACAAAATCATAAAAAAGACCAGTCTCACAGGTCTGAAAACGACTGGTGGAACCTCTGAGACAATGGCCTTAGACATCCTTCATACCTGGATCTGAATTTACCCCCATGGCTCAACTTTCCGCCAATGACAGGCCTATAAGGTGACCAGTAACACCAGGGAGGTACACATTCCTTAGAGCAATCAACCACAGGAGATCAGAAGGACAGCATTTGCCCAGTGTTAAAGCTCAAAAGGCATGAAGGATAGGAAAGGACAAGGAGGAAAGAGTGCTCTGCTACAAGTTGGGGACTGCAATGAATGTCACAAAACAAAACGTGTATAAATTGTTGAATGGAAAACCAATTTGCTCTGTAAATTTTCACCCAAATCACTCACCCACTCTCTCTCTCTCTCACACACACACACATACACACACACAAACATGCACGGAGTCTATAAACAGACCCACACTTACAAAGTCAATTGAGTTTTGACAAATGCCTTTGTCAGAATGCAGTGGGGAAAGAAGTCTTTTCAATATATGTAACCCAAACAACTGGTAGCATAGTGGCTAAGACACTTGCCTGCTAACCAGACAGCTGGCGGTTCAAACCCACCAGCCACTCCTCGGAAGGAAGGTTGGGCAATCCTACTTCCGTAGTGATACTGCCTCGGAAACCCAAGGAGGGGTCGCTATGAGTCGGGGCCGACTCAACGGCACATAACAACAACAACAACAGCCCAAACAACTGCACAGTAATATAGAGACAAAAAAAATTATCTTCTACCTCATCGGATACACAAAAATGTATTCAAGATTGATCTTAGACTTAAACAGCAAAGCTAAAACCACAATGCTTATAAAAGAACATGTTCACATCCTGGCGATGGCCAAGTTTCTTTAATAGGATCCAGACAGCAATAACCATAAAAGTACATATTAGACTTCATCAAAATTAAAAGCTTCTGCTCATCAAAAGATACATTAAGAAAAATCAACAGACAAGTCACAGACTGGGGGAAAAAAATCACAATATAGTCATCTGAAAAAAATGTGAATCATGATATAGAAAGCACGGAGAAAATGGGTATAGACAGAGAAAGGAGAAAAGTACCCTACCTGTCACACCAGCGTTCGAGATTGCCAACAAAAGATCACATGCATGATCTAACAGTGCAGGGGAAATGCTTTACTCACACAGAGAAAAGACAGAGCAAGATCAGCTTCACTAGTGGGTACTGGTCTCCCATGGCCAGAGGATCATTCTGCACATGGCTAGTGCAGGGTTCTACATCTACCCCTCTAGTTCTCACAGAGAACAGACAGAGAAGCAGGATTGGTCAGGTGTCGTGTGGTGCCCACACATGTGCAAGACAAAGAGAAGGGACTGAGGAAGAGTGAGAGACCCAATTCCCAATCTCCTTAGAGATGTTCTGGGCTCAAAGCCTTTACTTGGGAAGCCTAGGTGGGAGGTACAAGGGCTGAGTAGCAGAACACCCTTCAATAATAATAATTAAAAGACAAAACCACAATTAAAAATGGGCAAAAGATTTCAACAGGCCCTTCATACATAAAGAATAAATTTGGATGGGGCATTTACTCTGTAAATATAAGTAACTTTTAGAAAGATAGAGTTTTTTTAAAAAAAAAGTAAAACAAAACTGTAAAAAACTTATATAGGATTGAACTGATAGAAAGTAGTTTTTCTTTTTTACTAATTTTTTTAAATACAAAATAGCAATTCCTTTGAGTCTTAAGTATATATTTGTTGTTGTTGTTGGGTGATTCTGACTCAGAGACCCTAAGTGACAGAGTAGAAACACCCCGTAGGGTTTTCATGGTTGTCATCTTTATAGGAGTAGATTACCAGATCGTTCTCCTGTGAAGCCACTAGGTGGATCTGAACCAACAACCTTTTGGTTAGCAGCCAAGTGTGTAACCACTGCACCACCAGGATGTCTGAAGGTGTATATAGTTTCTTATAATTTTCTAAATTACATAATTATACACAGAAAACTAGACAAATATAATATACATACCATAAGCTTTTGCCCTGGTTCAGGGCAGAAAATAATAAAATCTGCTTCAATGTTAAGATGAATGTGTCCTTGATCATCATAAATATCTCCCAGTTCACCCACTACTTTGATGTTATCATATGCAACAGGGACACCTAAAAGGCTGTATTAAAAGAAAAGAAAAATGACATATTTTACCCTCTTTTAAAATGGGACATTGTCATTCTGCTTAGATTATTTCAAGAGTCCAAAAAAGTACACATTTCCTAAATAACCACCCATGCCAAATATATGATTACAGATAAATTAATATACGGCATATTTATATATCACCAAAGGGTTCCAACTTATTTAAACAAAAAAGGCAATTATGCAATAGCAATAAGTTCCTGCTTCCCTATTTGCTACCCATATGAATTTTAGTAATGGCAGAATAAGAGAAATAACTTCGCAAGGAACATGTCTGTACATTTCTATGAGTATGATGGTATCATCCATCAAAATTAATTTTCTATATTCAATGGGATATAGCAAGTAAAGCATTAGGGTTAAATGCTCCTAAATATTAAACCAATGACTTAACAGAAAAAAATCTCAACAGGGTAATTGTTACTTGTAAATAGAATGTTAAGAAATACAAGTATATCATTTATCAAGAAGTGGACTCTCACACCACAGACCTGAACTGGTTCATCCCTGCTGAGATTGTGCATTTCCACCCCAGACAGACTGAATCACACCATCTACATTTAAACAAGGTCCCAGGGGGTTAATGAACCAGTTAGAAGTCCTGCCTTACACTTACTTATTAAACAGACAAGATGAGGGGATAACTTCAATTTCAAAATATAATCCAAGTTCTTAAGTAATTTTAACACCCAGGGAGACATAAGGAGCTCCAGTGGCATAGTGGATAAGGTATCTGGCTGCTAACCAAAAGGTCAGCAGTTCAAACCCACCAGCCACTCTGTGGAAGGAAGATGGAGCAATCTACTTCCATGAAGATTTATGGAAACCCAATGCAGGTTGCTATGACTTGGCTTTACTACAATACGCACTAACTCTTCCAGAAAAAGATCCTCTGGACATTTCCAAGCAAGGCTAAAATCCTCATTCTATCCTCCTATCTGACCTTGGTCATGGCTATTACCTCATTTTGTTTTATCTGTCTGTGTGTGTGTGTATATATGTATATATGTGTGTATGTGTATATATAGATACATAGACACACACACACACACACACATATACATACGTTACTTCCACCACTTGTTTGTCAGTTTGTTGCACTGTGGTAGCTTGCATGTTACTGTGACGTTGGAAGTTATACCACAGGTATTTCAAATAACAGCAGGGTCACCCATGGTGGAAAAGTTTCAGTGGAGCTTTAGACTAAAACAGAGTACGAAGAAGGACTTGGCAATTTATTTTCTAAAAAACAGCAGTGGAACGTTGATATAATACTAGAAGACAAGCCCCTCAGGTTGCGAGGCACTCAGAATACGACAGGGGAAGAGCAGCCTCCTCAACGTAGAGTTAACCTTAATGACATAAATGGAGTAAAGCTTTTGGGACCTTCATTTACTGATGGGGCACGAGTCAAAATGAGAAAAAACAGCTGCAAATATCCATTAATAATTGGAACATGGATTGTATGAGGTATGAATCTAGGAAAACTAGAAGTCATCAAAATGAATGCTGGAATGGCAAATTAAAGAGGTGTCCCATTCATCACCAAACAGAACATTTCAAGATCTATTCTGAAGTACGACACTGTCAGTGATAGGATAATATCGATACACGTATAAAAAAGACCAGTTAATACCACTATTATTCTAATTTACTTATCAACCACTTATGCCAAAGATGAAGAAATTGAAGATTTTTAACAACTTCTAAAGTCTGAAATTAATGAAACATACAATCAAGATATACTGATAATTACTGGTGATTAGAATATCAAAACTGGAAACAAAGAAGAAATATTGATAGCTAGAAAATACGGCCTTGGTCATAGAAAGGACTCCATAGATCACATAATACAAATTAGCAAGCCCAACGACTTATTCATTGCAAATACCGTTCGTTTTTCAACAATATAAAAGGCAACTATACATGTGGACCTCATCAGATGGAATACACAGGAATCAAATAATCTACTCCTGTGGAAAGAGATAATGGAGCTCAATATCATCAGCCAAAAATAAGGCCAGGGTCAACTGTGGAACAGACCATCACTTGCCCTTATTCAAGTTCAAGTTAAAGCTGAAGAAAATTAAAACAAGTCCACAAGAGCCAAAGTATGACCTTGAATATATTCCAACTGAATTTGGAGATCATCTCAAATATAGATTTGACTCATTGAACAATGATAGAGGATCAGATGAGTCGTAGGACATCATACATGAAGAAAGCAAAAGGTCATTAAAGACAAGAAAGAAAGACCATATTGGATGTCATAAGAGACTCTTAAATCGGCTCTTGAACATGGAGTAGCTGAAGTGAATGGAAGAAATAAAGTAAAAGTTTTGAACAGAAGATTTCATAGGGCATTTGAGAAGACAAAGTAAAGTACTATAATGAAATGTGCAAAGACCTGAAGTTAAAAAACCAAAAGGGAAGTATACATTCAGTATTTCTCCAGTTGAAAGAACTGAAGAAAAAATACAAGCCTTGAATTACAATACTGAAGAATTTTATAGGCAAAATAACTGAATGATGCAGCAATCATCAAAAGATAGAAGGAATACACAGAGTCACTGTACCAAAAAGAATTACTTGATGTTCAACCACTGCAGGAGATAGTATATGATCAAAAACCAATGGTATTGAAGATTTGAAGAAGTCCAAGTTATAATGAAGCCAATGGTAAAAAACAAAGCTCCAGGAATTGGTGAAATACCAATTGAGATGTTTTAACAAACACAGGAACACACTGGAAATAATCACTCATCTATTCCATGAAATTTGGAAGACAGCAAGAAATCCACATTTATGTCCATTCCAAAGAAAGATATCCAACAGAATGCAAAAATTATCAAACATCATTAATATCACAGACAAGTAAATTTTTGCTGATGATAATTGAAAATCATTTGCAGTAGCACATAGATAGCGAACTGCCAAAAATTCAAGACTGGTTCAGAAGAGAATGTGGAATGAGGGATATCCATTGCTGATGTCAGATGGATCTTAAATGAGAGCAGAGAATACTAGAGAAAGATGTTCACCTGTGTTTTACTGACTATGCTAAGGCATTTGACCTTATCATATAATAATCAACAAATTATGGATTACATTGCCAAGAATGGGAATTCCAGAAAAAAAGAATTGTGATCACATGGAAACTGTACACAGAGAGAGTCAGAAAAAGGGGATACTCCATGGTTTAAAAGCAGGAGAAGGTATGTGTCAAAGATATGTGCCAAAGTTGAAATGAGATACCTTATAAGATTTTTTTTTTTAAATCTAATATTAAAAAAGGACCTCTGGTGGCATAGTGCCTAAGGCATTTGACTCCAACCAGAAGGCCGGCAGTTCAAACCCACCAGCCACTCCTCCAAAGGAAGGTTGGACAATCTACTTCCGTAGTGATACCCCCTCGGAAACCCAAGGAGAGGTTGCTATGAGGCGGATCCGACTTGACGACAGTATATTTGGTTTTTGGATTATTAAAAAATCTTATCACTGGGAAAATTAAAGTGGGGCAGTCTGTCAAACAAGGATCTAAGAGCCATTCTCAATTCTTCCCTTTTCCTCTACTTGATTCTTTGGATAGCCAGAAAGTCTGGAACATAAGCAACCATGTATACATAATAAATGATTTATTAACATTACACTAAAACTCACCACATGTGTAACATATTGTCACTCATTAGGAATGCACTGTTCAATGTATGATGCAAATCACCATGAGTAAGATGTGTTAATGAAGTATTCTAGACATACATTTTTTTTGCTGCCTCACATGATTTGTGTCTGACTTGGCACTAACCTGAACCTGCATCTTCAGCATACCTCACAAGTAATGACGGGGGATATTACAGATCTGTTTGGAGTTTAGCCTCCTCTACATGGCTACATGGTCCAACGGAGTTATAAAAATTATCATTCAATCATTCTCCTATAATGGCTTCTGCTGGAGGCACTCAGGGTAATTTTCTCCTAGCTTATCAACTGGAGGCATCAACTGGTTATTGTGATGCAGGGAATTACTTGGTGTGTCTCTTCTAGCCATGATCCAGATGACTGGGTGGAACTACACAAATGTGAGGTGCCTGTGGCCCACCAAAGGGATCAGACAGATTGCTAATAAAATAAATAAAGTACACGGTGCCCTTGTGGGGTGAGACTGTGCAAATAAGGTGTATGAAACCCTAATGTGAGATCAGTCTTACCACCTTGCTAGACTTAAAATGAGCCATCTCATTTTAAGGAAAAGAGGGATCTCATTACCATCAACACAGAGAAGAGCTGGGGGTAGAGCACATCTTTGGATCCAAGATCCCTGAATTGGATGTCCTTGGTAGAGAGACTACAGCAGAGTCAAGAAACCACACGAAACAAAATGGCAGGCTTGCAGGCCCACAGAATGAGAAAGCTGAATGCCTTTGGGCAGGAGGCTTGCTGGTGGAGTGGGGTGCACCTATGTTGTTGTTATGTGCTGTCAAGTTGACCTGACTCACAGCGACCCCTCCTTGGGTTTCCCAGGTGGTATCACTACAGAAATAGATTGTCCAACCTTCCTTCCAAGAGTTTGAACTGCCAGCCTTCTGGTTAGCAGTCAAGTGCCTTAGGCACTACACTACCAGAGCTCCCAGGGTGTACCTATAAGCAGAGCTAAAAGAGCTTTGCAACACTTGCCAGTGCAGTGCAGAGGCCAGGCTGAGAGGCCAATGCCAGAGAGGTGTCACTGAGGGCATGGCTGAAGGGAAGCTGTCCAGATAAAAAAATTATAACCTGAACATTCCTGAACCTGAATTGTAATTCATTGCTTCCCTACTAATCCCCATAATCATGAATATTGTGTGAGTTCTGTAAATTATTGCAACAAATTATCAAACCCAGCAGAGAAGTAGAGACTGCCATGGGAGGAATGGTAGGTGTCAGAATTAGTAAAAAGGCTGGAGGCTGGTGGCATATCTGACTCAACCTCATAGGAATCAGCTGTTGGTTGATGCTGCTGATGGTCATTTTCTCTCCACCTTGTGAAGTAAAAGGAGGTCGGAAAAGAATGCCACCACCACATCCTTTTTTGCAGTTATAAAAAGTAGTTAAAATACATTAAACTGTTGCCTATGTTTCCAGATGATTTGTGTATCCTTATCACCTTGTGTATCCTTAAATCTCCCAAATCCATCCCCTATAAATATTTTTCTCTGAAACGATTGTTGTTTGTTGTTGTTATGTGCTGTCGAGTCACACCCGACTCATAGCGACCCCTCCTTGGGTTTCTGAGGTGGTATCACTACGGAAGTAGATTGCTCCATCTTCCTTCTGAGGAGTGACTGGTGAGTTCGAACTGCCAGCCTTCTGGTTAGCAATCAAGTGCCTCAGCCACTACGTTACCAGAGCTGAAATGATTATAATCTCTTAATTGGAGTCCATGTCTATTATCTAAACCTTCTGTTCCAGGGAAGGCTTTTAAGTACTACTACTATCTCAAGTTTATGCCAAGTCTCAGTTAGATGATCTGCTAGTCCTGCTTAAGCACATCCAAACAAAACAGAACAACAGAAACAACCTATGCAGAAACAGGAAGCAAAGAGCAAGCAAGGCTGCCCCTTCTGAGTTAGACACTGCATTCTAAACTTTCAATTTACAGACGAGAAAACATCCGCAAGGAGCTAAATGATGCGTTCGTTAACAACGAAACTTCTTAGTCTGTTCTGGAGTGAGCTTCTCCACTTCCTCCACCCACAGAATCACATCATCTCTGTTTTCTTTCCTGACTAACCATCAGCACCCTGTAAAGATTTCGACCACAGCGGTACTGGTTTTGTAGGGTATATCGGAAGCCCAGAATGCCTCGGGGCTAGTTCTTGCTGGGCAAGTGCGACTTTTCCCATTTGCTTCTTTTCTGCTGCGCCATCGCCACGTCCATTCGCAGACCCCACCTCCCCAACCCCAAAGAAGTGGCGTCAGACTACATTATGGCGTTGCCCACAAAGTAGAAAGATAAAATAAAGATAGTGGTACCTCTCAGAATAGCGCAGAAGCTCCGCGTCGAGCTGTTCTCGGATGCCAGTGCGTTTCCTGTTGAGGTAGCGCGGAGACAACGCGATGTGCCTCCGGTGTGGCCCGGCTACCAGGCAGGAGTAGCGGCTACTCACCAGCGCGCAAGCGGCAGCGTAGGTTGGCAATTCTAGGCAGGGCACGACGCCAGCCGGTCCCACGACCAGCCCTTCGGAGGCAGCCTTCGGCTGCGACAGCTCTGAACAACCCGCAGCCATGCGGCTTGTCAGGTTTCTCACGGCGCGCGCCACTGACGCACTGTAATCGCCTCTCCCCGGACTCCTAGTTTTGGCGTCATCCTGTAGTTACCGGCCTGCAGCAATTTCCTCTTCTCCCGAGGATTACACAGGTCTAACCAGCAGGGGGAAACCTCTTTTCCCCGCTTTGAGGTTTTGTGAGCATGTGCAAAACCAACCACCTGTTAGTCCTGGGATCGAAAAACTTGCAGTATTTATTTTAGCGAATGTCGTATAAGCAACCAAGCGCAACCACTTCCGTGGAGTCGGATCCGACTCATAGCGACTCCTCCTTGGTTTTCCGAGGCGGTATCACTACAGAAGTAGATTGCCCAACCTTCCTTCCCAGGAGCGGCTGGTGGGTTTGAACCGCTAGCCTTCTGGTTAGCAGTCAAATGTCTTAGGCACTATGCCACCAGAGTAGTTTAATGGAGGGTCCCGCCTTGATCACTTTCAGTAGTCATGTGTTTTAGTAGGACATTATAAACTTGGACAGTACAATAATATATCAACAAATATCTTTGGAGTATATTTTAAGCAGGAAGCACAAGAAAAATAATAACAAAAAGCAACTCAGATGCCTCAAATGCAACGCATCTGAAAGTGAACCCATCCTGTCTCTCATCAGTCCGGTTTCTCCTGATTCCGCAATCGTTAATTCAGGAAAATATATTACAGCCTTCCAAGTGGCTTAGCCCAGCGATCACCTTACTTCCAAACGTTCAGTCAGCCCCAAGGCCTGTGTTGCCCAAAGCGGGAACATCTCTCCAACGGAGACTTGTATCCATCCTCACTGCCATAATTACAGAACAGCCTGTCTTTTTCTGCTTGTGGAAACCTAGGCTAGTGATTAGGAAGGTCTCCAGGGCAACTCGGGAAAGTGTCAACGGTGCACCAGTTACAGCCAAAGTCGTTGACACTTTCGTGAGCGCTAGTGGTTTTGTAGACAGTAATCCAGGAGCTCTGGTAGCATAGTGCCTGAGGCACTTGACTGCTAACCAGACGGCTGGCGGTTCAAACCCACCAGCCACTCCTCGGAAGGAAGGTTGGGCAATCCTACTTCCGTAGTGATACTGCCTCAGAAACCCAAGGAGGGGTCGCTATGAGTCGGGGTCGACTCGACGGCACATAACAACAACAACAACAATCCAGGAGATATGGTTGATAGGAGCCAGCTACAAAGCCTGGCTCCGGTACCTTGAGACACTTGCTTAATCTTTTTAAATTTTAACTTCCTCATCTTCTATTTGGTGGCATAGTCCCTAAGACATTTGAACGCTAACCAGAAGGCTGGCAGTTCAAACCCACCAGCCATTCCTCGGAAGGAAGATTGGGCAATCTACTTCCACAGTGATACCGCCTCGGAAACCCCAGGAGGGGTCGCTATGAGTGAGTCCCACTCGAGGGCAGTGAGTTTGCTTTGGTTTAGTTTGTGAGGATTAAGCAAGATAATGAGAGTGGACTTAGCTATATTAAGTGTACTGTCATTATAAGTGAATTATGCATGTGAACATTTGATTCAGCTTAAAATAGTTACACTTCTCTATAATATCGCCCTAAAATATTTTGTTAATAAAATTTATTCTATGTATGAACTATGTATTCTGAAATACACATTTGCCGTTTCAACGGTCAGCATGAAAAACCAAAACAGCTCTCATTCAGACTGTTGTTGTTACTTGCCATTGAGTCGGCCCCAACTCATAGCGACCCCTCCTTGGGTTTCCGAGGCAGTATCATTACGGAAGTAGGATTGCCCAACCTTCCTTCCGAGGAGTGGCTGGTGGGTTTGAACCACCAGCCTTCTGGTTAGCAGTCAAGTGCTTTAGCCACTATGCTACCAGAGCTCCTTTCATCCAGACTACATTGTTTGAAATACATAACGTAAGTTAGGAAAATCGTTTTTTATTAGCTATTTAATGAATCGTGAAATACAGCCCTTTTAGGGCGAAAAATGTATAAAATTTGCCTAATGAATTTCGAAATGAAGCAACAAAAGTCTCTATAGGATATGTAACAAAACTTAATGGTTCAGGCACACCATCAACTTGTAATTCACGACTTTGTCACCAGATGGCAACATGAGCTTTAAATTTGTAAAGTTTTGCATTAGAACAGAATTTTGTAGGAACTGCAAAAATCAAGCAGCTGTTTATTAACTGCTTGTTTTTAGCAACAATACTTTTTTTAAAAAAGGGCTTAGGAGCAATTTTTGATTCTAGAAGCTTCTCCCACTTGCTTATTAAATTGTTGACCTTAGCTGATGTACACTATGTTCACAGAAGGCTTTCAAAAAATGAGAGGAAAATAATTAACAGAATACATATGTTCCATTTTACTGGATGTAATAGATTTAACATTTCACACACAATAGCCGTTGCAAATACACAGACATGAAGTAACTCAAGCAGGTCTGTCTATAAATTAGGATTCAACTCCTTAAGTACGGTTATGCTTTTATTGGTGGTCTTCGAAGTGTGATCTCTGGACCAGCAGCATCAGCATCCCTGGGGGAGCATAGGAGATATGCTCATTCTCAAGCCCCTGTGCAGGCTGACTGAATCAGAAATCGGGCTGCAGCCCAGCATCTGATTTTAAAAGCTCTTCAGGTAGTTACAATGCCTGCTGAGGTGTGAGAACCAGTGCCTTTCAAGAATATAAGGGAGAGGCTCTGAATTGATCGTTTTATTTAGGCATAATTGATGTAAAAGTCCTGATAATTAACAAGCACTTGATTGCTTGCTTCACTTGCTTTAGTAAAGATTGCTAAATAATGAACATAAAATAGTATATAATTTACATACAACCACTTAGAAAAGTGAAGTTCATTCTCACATGTTCGTTATACAGAATTTCAGTTTATCTTCCCCTTTGAATTGTATTGAAAGGGATAACATTATGGTCATTTTTTTTTTTTAATTGTAACTTAAAACATGACACTAAACTAACTAGAAGATATGTGTGTGTGATACATAATTGCAAACATTGATAATTGTTTCCAGAAGTTAGAAAAGGGAAAAGAAGAAAATCAGAAGGGAGTGGGTGACTTTTTAGGGGAATGAGGCTCTCTTTTTATAGTTTATGGCCCTTTTATGAAAACCAGCGTCCGTATTTCTTCTAAGGCTCTATTTCCTCCCCAGTCTGCCTCTACTGCAACTGACTTTCAACACCTCTCTTACAAGGTTTTCAAACTCAAGGAATTTGGCTAAGAAAATTACCCGTGGTGCTTGCAAAGGTGCCTATGAAAATTCTCATTTACTTCCATCTGTCTTTAGCTCACTGAAGAATAGAAATAGGAAGAGCTTCCTTTTTATTTTCTGAAGATTATTTTAAAGCTATAGTTTAATAAACCACCTGCTAGCTTCAGAGTTTGTGTGGGTGTGAAGTCCTACATCCCTGACATTAAATATCTCCAAAGAACATGGTATGAAAAATTTGAGGGTAAAAAGTAGATAAAAATAAAATTTAGACATAAAGTATTTTGATGTAAAATTTACTTTCAGTTAAGAGTAAATTTTTCTTGGTCTCAAGACCAAACAATATGCGTATTAATGTTTCATATTCTAGATTCCTCCCTTCAGCCTCAGGGTGCTCTTAATTCTACTAAGCCTTGGAAATTATGGCAATCATGAATTGATCTTTATCCAGTAGCACAGTGGGCTTTGTGCAGAGTAAAAGGCTCCCAGCAGTAAGAATGCAACAGTGCACTCTGAAAAACTTTATAAGGGAAGGCATTCTTGGTAAAGGCCACTTTTCTTAGTAAAATAAAAATTTTAACTTCAACTTTTGCACTAAAATGGGGATTATTGGGTAAGAAAGACTGATAACTAAATGAAAGCAACTAGGTAGTGTGAACAATTTGAGTTTGACTTATAAACTAAAGGTTGACAGTTCAACCCCACTGAGTAGTACCACACAAGAAAGGCCTGGCTATCTCTTTCTGCTGTGATTACATCCAAGGAAACTCTATGGAGCAGTTCTACTCTAACACATGGAGTCTCTGTGAGTCAGAATCCACTCCATGGCAACAAGTTTGACTTAGTAGCCCTGGCGGTACAGTAGTTAAAGCATTCAGCTGCTAACCAAAAAGTTGGTAGTTCAAACCCACCAGTTGCTCTGTGGCCGTAAAGATTTACAGCCTTAGAGACCCTGTGAAGCAGTGCTACTTTGTCCTACAGGGTCAATTAGAATTGGAATCTAGTTTATGAGGATAGGCATCCTCTGAGTATCACTATGCCATGATGTTTTTGTTGTGATTCCTTCTGGCTTACACCATGTTGATTTTAGAATGATACTGACAATGCTGGCTCTGGCCTGGATAGAACATCTTTCTCTGATGTTCCTTGGCATAGCTGAATGGGCTGAACTAGAAATTGAAAAGAAGGAGAAAGAAGGAGACTACAAGAACATACAAGGAGACTGCATATCTGACATTTAAAGGCAGAATTTTATTCATGGCAGGAATTGTTTTCTCTTTGGCTTACTGGTGCAGTCCCATTATTCAAGCCCAAAGAAAAAAAATGATCTTGCCTAAATTTCTCACTTAGAGGTTGTTATCTGTCTCTAATGACCTTCTAAGTGTTCCGACCTGTTTACATTCAAGGAAAAGGAAGCTCAAGTATTCTCTTTCGTTATCCAACATCCTTCCTTTCTGTTTCCGATTTGAGCATATGTCTGTTTGCCTGATGATCAACACTGTTGAAGTCACTCTGTTCCTAGCTGCTGCTAGATCAGTGACCAAGGTTAGATTTCATTGGTTTATTCAAGAGTTGTTGTTGTTATGTGCCGTGGAGTCGGACCCAACTCATAGCAACACCTCCTTTGGTTTCCAAGGCAGTATCACTACGGAAGTAGATTGCCCCATCTTCCTTCTGAGGAGTGGCTGGTGGGTTTGAACCACTAACCTTCTGGTTAGCAGTCAAGTGACTTAGACACTATGCTACCAGAACTACTGACAACTGGAGAAATGAAGTCTCAGGTTC